TGAAGTTCGATTTAAAAATGTTGCCAACGACAAAATCGTACCAACAAGACATTCAAATCCTGACAAATTTTAGTAATTTAAATTTAAAAGTGTGTTTTTCTGTTGACAATATTTTTGATATACAATTTGATAATAGACCAACGTTGCCGTTCGTTTCGTGGGCTTTTCCCTTTCCACATTTAACTATCGGTGTTCACACTCCACAACTCCATAACCGTAAGGACAATATTCTAAATTTTAATGTACCAAACATGTTTTCATTTATTAACCGTGTTCAAAACACATTGCAATGCGTTGTCCTGTGGACTACGACCTCGCAGACGTCCGATTTTTGTTTACACGTTCGGTAACCGTTTCATTAAATATTCCCCCCTCTTAAACATCGCCACCGTCTCGTCGTCATGTCGTTAAAAAGTCGACGGGGACGTTTTTTTCACACGCGGAGGGTTAATATTATAGTAATAATAATAATAATGTGTTATGCACTTGTGCGGCTTTGCAGTTGGGGCTTGGCACAGTCATCTCCTAGACGTAGACGTGGTTTTTTATTATGCTTATTAATTCTTATTATTCGTAAACGTAATCACGTGACAATATAATATTATATGTAATATGCACCGGCGGTCGACGTATGCACAAAAATAAATCTTTACAAACATAAAAAACACTCGTTTTAATCGGTGCGGTCCATTTTGATACGTTTCGTGTTTTTATTTTTGTTTTCTCAAACGGTCACCGACAACGTACATAATGTACAACGTACACAATATTATTATTGATACAATAGGTAATAGCCAATTGGTATATGTGTGTCAACAACATGTGCGTTGATGAAATAATAATAGAAATAATAATGACAATCTGAAATCTCGTCATGTGCAAACGCTACACTCGATGAACTGCGCTCGTTTTTAGCATTCGGCGCGCACCACGTGCTGTCTGGTACCATGGGAACGTGAGATGTACCTATCGCCTGGAGACGCTGGAATCAACAGGCTCTATTTTAGGCGCGATCACATACGACCAGTTTGTACCGTTCGACACGCGGCAGTTTCCCTTGCACACTTCAGCTATAAATTACCTATTATAATATTACATTAATTACATAGTTGTAATTATAGACATTGATTATTTCTGACCCCGCTTTAAACTAGCTACGCATTTATCCAAATTATTATTTTGGGCATTGTCTATTAATTATTATTATTAGTTACCAAATAAATAGGTACCTACTTAGGCCTTAGATAGAACTTTAATTTTTTGCGAATTTTTGAGCAGTTATTTTCCTAAAAAATTCAAGTATTGAAATCGATGTTCAAATAACTAACAAGTTTACCTAATTCTCATTTCGTAGTAATTCTTCCTCCAAGTTATTATATGAATATTTGAAATTTGAATATTTAGATCAAGATTTAAATTAAAAATTATATAAAAAGACATACCTAGATGGTTAGGAACATTAACCACTATCGTTTGAAAGAAATTCTACCGACATTTAATACCTACTTAGTTATTATCTGTAGTAAAATAATTAGAAAAACTTGGAAACTATTTATTCAAATTTCGACGTTTTAAAATAGAATCTACTTGACTGTTTATAATTTGCTGAAAAAGGAAAGTTCTCCATCATAAAAAAAGACCTTTGAGTACAAAAATTTGTTGTCGTTACAAAAAAATGCTCTTTAAAAGTACTTACCTATTATACCAAAAATACCAAGAATCATGCATGCTTAACAAATCATCCTTTGTATAGTTTGTACAGTAAGTTGTTTATTATGGTTGAGCACTTTTATTATTATTTGTTATTGGTAGGTATTTGTTAAATGTACTTACATTTCAAAATGTTAAAACGGCATACTGGAATATTCTAGATTTAATCTCAACTTCGCCATTGTATCGTAGCTATTATTCGTAACATAAATAATTTTTTTCACAACACGCTGCTCACAGAGTTGGCGTGTCATTCTATTTTGAATTTCCATAATGTCAAAATGTCTTGGAGTATTGTTGGTAAACGTTGGTAAAGGTGAAGTAACTATGAAAGGCGTTCAACTATTATTGGGTATTCTTCGAGTATTTAATTATTATGGCTAGGATTTAGGCGAGGATTTTGGTATATACTATATATAATAAAAATATGATAAAATATGCAAAACAAAATAATATTTTAATTCTATCAATCACTAAATATTTTTTGTATAAAATTGTATTGCAAATAAATAGGTAGTAGTTTAAATCGATTTTGAAAACTTCACTAGGAAATTCTTCAACAAAATAATTGTCATAATCTAGCACCTTCTATTCGAAATGAAAAGCATTCTTCGAACTCGTTTATATAAAATGTAAATTTTACACTAAAACGGCATGCACAAAATATAAAATATATCTATACGGCAAACATGTTGTACCTACTAACGGTTATAGTAAATTAACCGATGAACAATAAGGAACAACCATAGATTCACGGCCTGTAAAAATCTTGTATTTTTACTCGATATAACCGACCATATCAGTTTATAGTCTATTTACTATAAATAATACAATAATTACCTACCAACAGATCTTAATTATTAGATAATACAATTTACATCAAACAAATATCCAAAAACTATATACGTACCTATAGGTATGCAGTTAAACGGTCACTTTGTACTATTATATAAATATTGGACGTTTGAACAAAGTTCTAAAACTATACTTTTCATAATTAACGCCCTTTTGTAATCTAAATCCAGTTAAATCATTTTTTAATACAACATCCTTTAATAATACAAAATTATTAAATTGAGCTTGATATAATCAATATCCTATTAATAATGGCAAAGTATTATTTTTTCCCATATTATTAAACTGTGCCTACTTCCTTTGTTAATTTTTTATTAAAAATACGAATATACAATTTTAAAGAGCTTTACAGAGAGCTTTTATAACTTATATCAGATTCCGTTGTCTAATTTTTTTTGTCATTTTATAAATTTTGAATTTTTTGGTTATAAGTTTTGTATCCAAAAAACTTCAACGTTATTATTTATATCTGGCTGACGAGATTATGATATATAATAATGATCACTTCCTGTGCTCTTTATTATACATATTAATAAATCGTTTATTCAAGACCCCATATAAAATATCATATAATGTAAACATTTCAAGGGTCCTATAAAACACAATCATCGCCCCCCGTTCGTGATAACTTAATGTTTTATATTTTTTGTTTTTTGTGATACGCCCTTGTTCCTATACATTTTAACCGCTTAGCGAATATTAATAGGTAACAAATGGTTTTTCTAAAAATATTTTTCACATAATCCTTAGAACGCATTTAAATCCGTCTTTGAATTTATTATCGATGAGTACTATCGTGCAATTAAAATCACATCTGTTTTTGTTATCGGTCATCTGTAGTTATTAGAAATAAATAGGATACTCTATATACTAATTAAACTTCTTCAAAAAAATAGCCAAGTATTTCGTTGAAACCATTCATAAAAACCTTCATTTTTGGTTTAAAAATATATGTGACCAGTATTTAATTTTTTTAATCTTGAGATTGTGCTTTAGTGAAAACGATTGTTGTTTTTTATAAACATTTATAAGTGATTTTACGTATTGTAGAATAATGAATCCCATTGTTATTTGTTTGTATTCCTCCACAGTATATGTTATTGTCCCAGTTGAGGTCCTAGTTATGTGTTATATAAATGTATAAAATGTGTGTAAACTAGAAACAGAAAAACTGAAATTACTCTCTAAAAATTAAAATCTTAACTATAATTTCTAAAATGTTTTCATAGTAGGAATATTTCGTAACGTTTTTCATTATTATGGAGTATTTTAACGTTTAACTGCTTCCGCAACTTTCGACGTTAGAACTCAAATCTTCAAATCTCCCCGCACTAACTTTATAAATTATTTAATTATTACCCAATTACATTCAATTTTTTTGTAGCTTATGATGTAAATATCATTGGTGTACCAGGTACACTCTACGTCGTTATACGATTTCTCTTCGTATTTTACTGAATAAAAGGATGTTATTTTCTATTAATTGTATTTAATACTATGTATGGAGTAATTGTGATTTGCATATGTTTCTTCGACGATTGTTAACCAACAATCCGACATTCTCTTGGATAAACATAACCTTATCTTAAATATAACCAAACATAATTTATCTTAAACAATTTTTAGGATTTAAGATTAGGTACGTATATTAATTCGAGCCACTCAAATTAAATGGCGACCGACCGTCGTAATCTGGTATTTACTAATAAATAATAATAATATATTGTTTAAAATTAATTGCAGCACAGTTTTGTTGAATGATTAATTATTGTTAATTAATTATGTTCATAATTATTCGTAAATAAACACAAAATACGATTTCCTATAAGGATCGTCATTTCTTGACCATTGCCCCTGGGCTATAACTTATAACTAACATATTATCAAGTTTTATAAAATAAATAAGTGTTAATAATTAATATATTGTATAGGTTAAGTAATTTTTAATTCTATTCCAAAATCTATTGTACTGCCTACCTAATTTCTGACAATTACATTTCGATAGTTTCTTTTTGATTTGTCATTATTTTTTGGTGTATCATTTTTCGAAATAGTAGTCACCTGTCGGTGTCCTGATTTGAAAATTATAAGGAAAATAATAATTAAAAATTACAACTTGCGACGCGTCAATCGTTACAATGAAAAAAAAAACTCAACTACAAAAAGTACAAAATGGACCGTACTTACCATGTTATAAAAATGCGTGAATTTCCATGACACCTAGGGAAATATAATAATGTATCTTGCAGAAATATGTCAATTTACCGGTTTACGTGCGAATGATGACAAAATAACCTAGAATACGTTGGCCTAGAACCGCTAGAAAAGATATTTGTGGTGTATTCAGTTCTATTTATATACAACTACTCCGAGGTGCCGGCGGGCTCGTCAAAAAAACCGCGTGCGAACTGTGAAGATAATAATAATAATTCCACATGGACCGCAAATCAGACAACGACGGTGGCACGTCCGATTTCGAAATGCCTTTGTTCGACTTGGAGTCACAGCGGTTAGAGTTCGACACAAGCTCGGAAACGGATTCTTCCAGCGTTTTTGACTGTAACCTAGACGAGAGTTTCCAGCAGATAAAGAACGACCTGGAACGGCTCCACCGATCAACCCCGAAAAAGACGAGTTTTTACCGAACCCCGACGGCTTGCCCCGACGAATCATCCACTGTCGTCGATGACGAGTTTCCCGAAATCGATATCGATCAGAGATTTGACGTCATGAAAGACAGGGTTAGAAATTACCGATCTAAAGAGACGGAAACGTTGAGGAGATGCATCATCGAAATTAATAACACTATAGCTTGCGTAATAGACAACGAAGGTAAAAACGTGTGTGTAGGGACAAAAGAAATTATGCCTAATGCTTGTCTGGTTTTGATATCCTGTCAATGCAACTACATAATATTTTTATCCATTTCTTACAGATTTTTTTTTCTTATAAAACTTTAAATATAGATCCCACATGATAATGATTATGTTCAAGTCATTTTTATGTTAATAAAAAATATATTAACTAGGTAGGTAGTTGGTTTTTAAGCTTAGTTTTTCAGTAGGGAGGTATCTAAAATAAATGTTAACTTTAACCTTTATTTGACTTAATAATCCTGAAAAAAATTTTACAAACATCTTGATGTATTTTTGATACCTATTAAATAAATTTATTTTTAATCAATTAATTAATATTGAAAGTTATTCTGCCTCCTACTGAAATTTAAAATAAATAGGTAGGTAGGTCATTAAAAAAATTTATAAGGTTGTAAAAATTACTTCAATTTTTAAAGGTAAAAACTTTTTGGTATAAATCTAATCTGTATCCTATGCAGTTTTTCAACATTTTATTTTTCAATAAAAAAATGTTTGTAAATTATTGAAGCCAGGGTTAAATGGATATAAAATATCATTAATACTTATTAATACTTATTATAATGTATATTATATTTGTTCTCATATTTATTATTCTTTATAGGCATTACTATTTATCGATATTTTATAGTCAATGTTATACTAATCATAATATCCTTGTCTGTTTTTAGGTATGGTCAAAAAGTGCGAACGTTTGGAACTGGATATCTCGAAACAGGAGAAAATTCAATTGCTTAAGACCGACATAGCCGCAATCAAAAGTCGCCTGATGTCGTTTATGCGTATTGAACGACTGGACAGCAACATACAAAACAAAAACGAACTCCAAGCCTTAATCCACACTGCTAAGGTATATTATTAATTAATTTAGTTATCTGCTTCAATTTTATATTACAAAAACCCCAATATTATATGTCTAACATACTTTAAATATATACTTTTAGACTGAATTATCAAGTTTGGATACCTATTGGAATAGTCGCAACATAGTGAGCATCACCGAAGAGTTAAACAGACACTTCAACGAGTTGAACAATTCAAATACTGTTTTGAATCATATGAATAAAGAAATTGCAGATCTATATTCTATTTATACTAATACTAGACAGAGGCAAGTGTATCTATATAGTATTGGGCACCAAAGATTTTTTTTTTGAAAATGTAGAACAAATAAGAAAAAGTAGTTTTTGTTATTTTTTGTAATGAAACTAAAAATTGCTCAATTTTGTAAATTCTAAGGATTTGCTCCAATGATTTGTTTTATCCAATTTACATATTCTCGATTTAAAAATAAATATCTGATCTCCACATCTAAATTTCCACAATCCTTGCCCACGGCCCATGTCCTCCAATTATATCTTTGACTGGCGATTCCAATTAATTTATTGTCACACATCATCGGACAACCTATATCCTCTTCACAAAATTGCACATCTTGTCTTATGGGACACATCCATTTATTATTGCCACTTATAACATCAATATTTTTTTTAAAGTGTAGCCTAAACAATCTTTTTACATGCATATACTTACTCAACAGTGTCTTGACACTTTCTAGTAACAGTAACGGTATTGTTTGATACTGTTATCCATTTTTCATAATAATTTAAAGTCATTCTCTTTGATGATTTAATACTCGTGCCATAGATTGTGCATTGCTTTTTTTCCCAGAGATTGTCATTATTTTCGATAAAAAATGTGTTGTAATAATTTGTTGTTTTATTAAAGAATGTATCAGGGATTCCATTGATCTACATGCAATTTTTATCAAACCATTAATACATTTTTACTAAAAATTTTAAAAATCTAAGTTAACTACTTCAATCAATAACACTCCATGAGTCTTATTTTCAGACTGTGGTGTGTATAAAGCTTGCACATGATACTTGATTATTTTGTTACAACTTTGAACCTTGAAATTATTTATTGTGATTTATTTTTTTTTGTCCACAATTGTGTAATGGTTTATAATATTATTAGTTGCTTTATATGTTATCAATATTATAGGGCGTTTACACATTAGGTATATAAAAAAGTAAAAAAGTAATATTTATAAATGTTACAAACCTATATTATTTAATTGACACTAACTTTTTTAAATGTATTTACTTTGATAAATTGTGGATCAAATTTTTTTACGCAAACCTTCTCAGTTAACATAAATCTATTACTTATTCTACTTGCACAACAAATTGATATTTCTGACTGATCAGGATGCTTTTCATAAATTCTGTATATATTTTTTAAATCCAACGGGCAATACTTAGTTGTTGGTGTATTTGATAACAGTTTATAACTGCTCATATTTTCTGATGTGCAATAACTAAAATTATAGCAAATTAACATTATACTGTAGTAAAACATAATAAATAGAGCCATTACACCAATACCTTTTTAAAAACTAATATTATTATGCTTTTTCTTATATTATAAACAATTTTATTGACTTTGTGTGTTCATGGTTACAGATTAGAAAGTGAGATATTAAGATACCAGAATGCATTGATCACATGGGCCGAATGTGACAAACAGCTAATGGAGCTTGAGATGAAATTTAAAGGTTTTGGTGACAATGGTATTGTTTGCGGAAATCAGAAGTCTGGATGTTTTGGATCAGCTTCTGACAGTGGCATGTCAGATTCAGGTTCAGAGCATGAACTTAATGAACATGAAAAACGATTGGTTAACCTAAAACAATTAGCTAACAATTTGATGACTATTATGACTCCTGGCAGTGAAGCACTATCATCAATACTAGCTGTAATATAAAATTAAATATATTCTTTTTTTAAGTTGTAACCAATAATATTAATTATTACCATTACAATTTTATAGAGAATAGAGAATAATGAAAAACAATTGAAAGAGCTACAGCAGACCTGCAAAGACCTCATAGGAAGATCAGAGCTTTGCATTGATGATGACAAATTGGATAACTGTGATAGCCTCGTTAATACTGATATGTAAGTTTGGTCTCTTAAACTATAATAATATAGTGCACTACAGTACTACTGTATTATGTTCAATCAGTTTTGGGTCTCGTACATCTTATTTGATTTCACTTTTTCTTAAGGGGGCTGGAGCGTAGTCCATTCTAAGGAGTAAAAACTAGGCAATTTATATTGCAGTGCATATGGGTCCGTGTCAATGTGTTGGAAGTAAATGAACATTAGTGTGTGTAATTCGTAATTGTGTACTCTCCGAACTCACTATCCGTTCAAAAACTGGTTTAACATAATAGCCATTGTCATTAGACATGCTGCAATTCACCGAATTTACAATAACTATTACCTAATTACGATAACATAATAATAATATTATTGTACTGAATTAAATGGTAATAAATAATAGATAATACTTCATAGTAAATGGTTTTTTTTAATTACTGCACTACATAGGTATACTTAATTTCGACCAACCTTGAACTTCAAATAATTGTAAAAAAAACTGTTTTTATATATTTTTTAAATTTGTTGGTTACAGTATCTTATTAGTATCTACTTACGTAGAATCTTATTTAAAATTTTTAAATATATATTTTTTTCCTTAGCTAAAAAAATTGAACATTTTTAACTGCGAAATAATTTGTAAACTTTCAGTATGATAAATTGCTCAAAAAGATCAAAATAATTTGAAAGTTATACCATATATTATAAAATAAAAAATATAAATATAAAAATATCAATACATCAAGTGTCTAGACAAACATTTTTAAACAGGTATACCTGTATAATGTAAAATATAATTTTAATCAATAATCATAATGAATATTATAATACCACGGAAATAAAACCTATTACCTATACCTTTATATAATATATTCTGTACATAACATTACAATAGGTACTAATAAATAATAATCATTAAAAAATTGTGTGTGATTCCCCGAATAATACCGATTACGTTGTATAGGGGCATCATAGTGACCGGATATGTACGGCTGTGATTTTACCTAGGCGCATGCACATGTCAACCACATATTGGCTTATAAAATTAATAACATTTTTTTTTCAAAAAATACGGCCAATGACTTCAATCACTACGCTTAGTAGAATATTCCGATTTAAATTTAGAAAGCAGATTTGAATTCTCCTCTAAATTTACTATGCTTTGACTGTCGTACATTTTTCATATTCAATATCAATGGATTTAAATTTGAATTATAAAAATGATCAATTTTTACTCTTTTTGTTAGTAAATTCCTAAATAAAAAAAAATAAAAATCAGAAAAATAAAATTGTCAAAGCATAGATAATTTAGTGACGAATTCAAATCTGCTTTCAAAATTAAAATCAAAACATTATATTGGGCGTAGTGATTGAAGTCGTGAGCTATGTTTTTGACCGAAAATGAATCACGCTCCAGCCCCCTTAAATTATAAATATGATATTATTATTTTTTTTTTCCATGTTTTGTTACTAACATAAGTTTTTTTCCTCCCTTAATGATACCATGCTACAGTTATTTCTGATATTTTAAATAAAAATTATAAAACTATTAGGTATACTTGGTTACTTTTTGGCCTGTAATTACATTAATTTGAATTCTGCCCGATTTATTTTTATTTTACTAAAACATTATTACATTAAATTACCATGAAATGAAAAAAACTAAAACTTAAAATTGTGCATATGTGGGAAAGTTTAAAATATTGTTGCAATAGGGATATATTAGGAATTTAAGATGCCATTCATAAATAATAAGAATAATAATAGGTCATTTTTTTATAATAATTTTTCTAAGTGATAAACATCATACATTCAATATTCTATTATCTCCTTTATTTTATTATATTCATGAGACAATATACTTAGTTTGATACAAATGCTTAAAAAGAACTCAAATATTTTATTTCGACATTGAAAACCAAGGTTTGAATATGAAATAAAGTTAATATTTAAAAAATTCTATTTTGGGTCTTTCTACGGTCTGGAATATTTTTATTTTTATTTATTATTAGTTTAATATGTTGGTATTTAAAATTATAACTCTTCTGTCAATCCGATGTACTTAATTTTATAAGCTAAGAATAAAATAGGTTAGTAGAATAAAGTTTGAACATTTTTTTTTTTTTTTGATAGTTTAATTTTTTAGTTGTTTATAATTACAAATTAATACAATTTTGAATAGACTTTAATTCCTCTTATGCCAGAAATATTTGTTTTGAGTGTTAATTAAATGTTTATCATATTTTCTGTATTTCATGCTATCCTGGGTATCCAGGTAAGCTGAAAATAATATTTATTTTCTGCATGATAATTCGTAACACAGATCGACCTTCAATCTTCTACAACATTAATGAGGTACTATACAGAAATACAGATTAGAAACTGGAAATGTCTTGATTATATTTTGCTTATTCCTCAACCCTCATATTGAGTTTTAACATTTTAAAATTTATAAATTGTTCTTATTGAAGTATTCAAAAACCAACAACCTAAATTAAAACATTGAAAATGTTAAATTTAGGTATTTCAATTGTTGTCCTAACCTTGAGCTTTATTTTGCATGTACCACTGATATGGATGGTTGGTCTATTAAACATAGAATTATAGTTAATGCTTTTGACAGGTAGTCAAATTTAACTAGATAATTTTGACTACCCATATAGTGAATTCAATATGCCAATAGACTAATATATTTTATTCTCTATTCATGTGTTATTTACTTATTGTATTGTATAGTACTTTTATTAAACTATTACAATTTGGAACTTATTGGTATTATATTCATAAGAGTTTTTCAATATCAATAGTGACTAAAATATATCTTTACTTTATAATGCATTATGTTGAGTGTTGACAATAATAATATGATGATCAACATAATATAGTAATAGTTATTCTTCATCATCTGAATAATTATTTTATTTTGTACTTGAGAATTCTTCTTAATTTTTTCACATTAAATATATTTTACAAGATTATTCTATGAAAAATATTTCCTTTAGATTTGATTTCGAAGTTATTTTATTTCCATTTGTAATATTATGTAACACTTATAAAATATAAAATTATTTTTGGCTTTTACATAAATAAAGTAGGTAGGTAAAGGTACTAAATTTAGTTTTTCACCAATATTTTAAAGTTTTGAAAATATGTTATGCATGTAGTTTTCCATTATTGTTTTTTTAGTGTTATATAATTTTATTTTGTATATATCACTGTAATATGTGATTTAAAATTATGTTATAAATCCGTAGATCATTAAAAGATCATTTTAATAGAATAATTGTTATAATACTATAATGTATGTTGAATGCACATATTTATGTATATTATTGTACTTCGGTTTTGTTATGGTACGTTATAATCTAATGGTATTACTAATTACTTTTTAACGTAAAAATTATAATATTGATTAGCACGTCTGCAATTAAGTAAATAGAATATTTGATATACGAAATCAACTTCCTACGATATTTTTTCATACGTCATAATATAATACTTCATACTTTTATGAGATACTGAAAATGACATTGTGAATATAAGTAGGTTTGTTATTACTTATTGATAATTTTTTTCATGCGCCACGTGCGAGAATTGTTTTGCAACAACGTTGGTCATAGTTTTCACGTTAAAACGGCCGTCGATCTTTAGCAATCATCACCTTTGGGTTACGTTTCTATACGGTTTTATACGTCGCAGTATGTACATTCATGTTCTATTTAATACGTGCTTTTAATTGAAAACTCGTTAAATATTTTTATCAGGCTGACTTGAATATACTGTCAAGCGATGTTGAGTTTTTTTCTATAATATACCCATTAAACACTGTTAGCTTTAATTTCAAATAGACTATTTTCCTATATTTGTGCTAATTCCTCGGATCATGTTGAATAATAATATATATAACTTAATATTCTGTCATATTATGCTTAACTATTCTGCGGTTGTGTCGATCTAATAATGTGTTGCGAATTAAAAATAATAATAATATCTGTCGGACGCGTTCCAAAATATTTATGGGTTAATCGTTAAAGAAATATACGTGGGTTGTCATCGTATACAGGTGACTGGTGTACCTGAAAGGTTTGCCAGCTGAAATGAGAAATTTGCAAAGCCACTAGATACACCCTATATATTAGTATTCTCGGACCTCAGTATATATCCGAACTACTATATAAATCGTCGACCTAGGTATAATAATAATATATGCCCCTTACTAAACTGAGATTAATTCATGAACTTATTATCTATTTTCTAGCTACTTAGTTGGAAATTAATTGTATTTAGTTAATTTGAATGTCTCATGCCAATTTGGTCTTAAAATATTGCATGTTTATTATTCTATTTGATAACATTGTTTTTCAAATGAAATAAAATGCATATTTGAGTTGTTCCGAGGGCACCCTACTATACGTATAATCGTTTTTATAATTTTATCCATTTCATCGGAGGAATATAGAAAGCGTTAAAAAAAACGAGTAGATCGCGTATGACAGGGGTAGGGGGAGCGTTTATTGGATCAGACTATACTGAGTTGTGAGAGGAAATTTAAACCAGTTATGCATGTTTTGAGTATGTTGGCTGTGGAGACGTATTATGTTTAATAATAGTATTATATTATAATATTATTATATTATTATGATGTAACGCGCGGGCGGCGGGCCCAGGCGCAATTCTCGCGCACTGACGATCGTCTGACTAGTCACAGTGACTAACTGTTTAGTATATTTCTAGTCGTCGCCGTAGTCGTATCGCTTCTGCGCTCAGAGTCTGACCTAACTTTACTCGCGTTTTCATTCAGTTTTTAACATTTCGGATTTTTGGCCTTTGTCTATTTTATTGGATTTGTCCATTTTACGTGGGGTACTTTTTTCGTTACTACTAAGTGTTTCGCTGAAATGCATACTACAATGTCGATCGTAATTGACGAAGCGTTTCCTATACTGATCACCGACCAGCCAGACGCTCTGCTCGTTGTCCGGAGCCCTTTGCACTACTCCAAAAGCGTCGTCACC